CACCCATCTGTTAATATTTGGATTTCTTGTAAAGTTTGTTGTATTAAATTGCGGCACAGGTGGGGTTAAGGTCTGAGTGCATTTTACACCCTCCCTAACCCTACTTGTGGGATCACATTGAGTATCTTGTTGTTTTGGCTATATATTGAAGTTTCAGTTTGTTAAAAGTGTCTTAAGATTTGGTGGAATAAGTTCTGATTCATATTTCTCAGTACTAATTGAAGATAATACATGGTGTAATACCCAAAATGAAGGAATTTTTTTTTAATGTAGATCTTTATTTGTTTGGTTTTGCTGTCTAACATGTTAATTGGTTGTAGGTAAGTGGTAGTAATGGGGAGGAGTTTGAGCCCAATACTTAGAAGAGAGCTGGAGAATTTGGATAAGGATGCTGAGAGTAGAAAATGCGCAATGAAAGCATTGAAGTCATATGTGAAAGAGCTGGATTCCAAGGCAATCCCTCTCTTTCTTGCTCAGGTTTCTGAAACCAAAGAATCCAATGCATCATCAGGAGAATACACAATTTCACTCTATGAGGTACTTGCTCGTGTACATGGACCTAAAATTGTTCCTCAGATTGATAACATCATGAGCACTATTTTCAAGACCCTGACATCCAGTGCTGGATCTTTTGCCCTTCACCAAGCTTGTTCAAAAGTTGTTCCAGCCATTGCGAGGTACAGTATGGACCCAACGACACCAGAGGAAAAGAAAAGATACATTATACACTCCCTCTCAAAGCCCCTTTCAGATTGTCTTCTGGGGAGACAGGAGAGTTTATCTTCTGGAGCTGCTCTCTGCCTAAAGTCTCTGGTGGATTCTGATAACTGGCGGGTTGCTTCAAATGAGATGGTTCATGAGGTTTGTCAAAGAGTTGCCGGGGCTTTGGAGAAGCATACACAAACTAATTCTCATATGGCTCTAGTCACTTCATTAGCCAAACACAATAGCTTAATCATGGAAGCTTATGCAAGATTGTTGATACAGTCTGGATTACAAATTTTAAGTAGTAGCAGTGGAGAAGGGAATTCTCAAAAGAGATTGTCCGCCATTCATATGGTCAACTCTTTGATGAAGTATTTGGATCAAAGAAGCATACATTCTGAGCTCAGAATGGTTATGGAGGAGATGGAAAAATGTCAATCTGACAAGATGCTTTATGTTAGAGGGGCTGCATTTGAAGCATTACAGACTGCAAAGAGAATATGCTCTGAGAAGGGTTCGAAATTTGAGAGAGATGTAGATTCAATGACTGGATCCAACTTTGACAGTAGAGGGAACATGAGGAGAAATCTGTGGGGATCTGGTGACCAATCATCTTTAACTGCATCACCAGAATCACGCACAATTAATTCGTTTGTTGACTATGAACCATTTGTGGACTCCCCCGTTTCAATCAATCAGGGCCCTTATGTTTTGGGTAATGATAGGAGTGTGAACCGAAAACTTTGGAAGAAGAGTGCAAATGGCGGTGTTGATGTCTCTCTAAAGGATGGCATCTTCTCCGAATTCACACATGGAAATGGTGTCATAAACTCTGAGCACAATGAGGTTCATAATGGTACCGGAGATAACACTGCTGAATTTGCTGGATTTTTGCCAAGATCTGCCCGAAATGGTTTTGTCAGAAGTGCTACTCCAAGTCCTCAGGTAAAACATGTTATTGAGTGTAGTTTGTTCTTTGCTCAGTTTATAGTGTTGGAAGTTCAAATTGCTTTACTATTTCTAAAGTCAAAATCAAATCTTAGTAGATGTTTGTTGGAACAGCAGACAGCATGGAGTCTTTTGGAGCTAAAAAAGTTCCTTGTGTTATTATTGATGAACAGAAGATACAACTCGGTTATTTGAGTTGCAAAGAGGATTAAAGAAATAAACAAAATTGATGGTTCCCTCTAGTTCATCTGCCACAAAACTAACTAAATAGCAATGCCATTCTTAGAAGTAAAAACTCTGTGTATATGATTTCTCTGGGATGTGCACAGAGAAATTCTGTAATTGTTTTAAGTTAAATAACATAACTTTCAGTATTTCAAAATATAAATGGAACAGATAAGTAAAATCCTTGACACATTGAATTTATGTGCTTCTAGTATGGTGTACTATTTAATATCTATTTAATGGGTGCCCTAACATGGTTGACATTTCTCTTTTTGTGCTTCAGAGGTCACGCTCTCATGTTAATGTCGAAAGTGTGAAGATCTTTGCAACACCAAGAAAACTTATTCATCTCCTTCAGGATGCCAATGATGGGAACTCAGACATTTCTGAGAGGAAAACCAGAAGGTATAGGAGTCCATCCCTGTGCAGGTGTGAAGGAAGTCCAGAAAAGTCTGAAGTTAATGGCCTCTTCCATTGTGAAAGGCGTGAGTATAGAGAAGGGACAACATCTAATGATGAGAAACACTACCATCTGAACTCCGAATCAGTATCTTCAACAGAAGATGCTCAAGTTAATGGAGATGTGCAAGTATCTTCAAATGATGTTGCCCATAATGGAACAGAATTTCAGGGAGTCATTCCCCAAAAAGGCTATGCTTCTGCTCGCATATTGATTTTTAGTATCTTAGCTGTACTTTTGGCAGCATTCATACTTTCGTTGTGGATAGGCAATCAAGACCAAAGCTTCAACCTTGTTCCCACCTAAAATATGTAGTTGGTCTTCTATAATAGATCCCACTCTTAGATAGTGGGTACTAAATAGGACCTTCAGTATCTTAATTTTCTCATTGCTCATTGAGGATTAATCTACTTTGCTACAGAACTAGTATCCTATCATCAGAATTGATTATTTGGATGTCAATTGAAGTCTTTCTTTTTTGAAAAAGATATTGCTTTTTCATGCACTGTCAATAGCCTTTGTTCCACACATCTGTTTAATTGTCCATTTAAAATAATTTGCTGTCTATAGCTTGTTGAGTAAATCGTTTCCACGAGCAGATGAATAAAATAAATATTTGTAAGCTTTACTTGAGTTAATTGGGGAAAGCATGGGCAACAGGACAAACAGACCTATGTTTTAAAGCAACCAAACAGTATTTATAGCTTAATATCTACATCAGACCTCACTTTCAAAGTTAAATCAAATGTATCTGCTTGATTAATGGTTTCTGTGTTGTAATGATGTTGCCATCTCTTGATTTGCTATGAGAAACTCTATTCTGTGTGAAAACAAGTTGATTGGCTTGCTTTGCTAATGGCTGGTTCAAAACTTCACATATTTGGGTTATGCAAACTTTGTTTACCCCTCCATTCACTCTGAGATTCTATGATTATTGGTTGAAGCAAAGCAGCTTGCCCAACACATATGTATGAGTATCTGCCATAACTTTCATGTCTTGAGCCAGGACTCAGCAAGTACACTTCTTTGAACCCGTCCCGTCCTACTACCACCGAATTTCGTCTTCCCTGATCATGAATAGTTATCAACATGTCAAGATCAATTAGCAGCTAGAATTCAGAAATTGCTTAATATGATTCATTTCATGACGATAGCTTACCCGATCGATGAGTGTGAAGTTCCGAGGTGCACTTTTATAAAGTTTGCTCATTTCATCAGTCAAATGCTTGTAGTTGTCTGTTTCTTCACCCTCCAACTCTTTTTCTGCAATTTTCTCTGGGTTTTGATTTTTTGTACCCCAGCTTGAGAATATTTCCCCAAAAGATTTCTTAGAAGGCTGATTTTTCGTCTTCCCAAAGGCAGGCGGAATAATGCTGAAGTTAGCTAAGAATGGAGGGTTGCTGAAGAAATCTGAGCCTTGCAGTCCCACAGCATAACTGGCTTCTGGTGTGCTTACTGTCAGATGGCTAAGAACTGAACCCGTCATCCGGAAGCTTGCCATACCTAAATTAAAGATTTTAATCTCTGAAGTTAAAAGATCTTCTTGCAGAGTAACCATATACTTAGCTTCAATCTTTCCATCTGAACTTGTGCAAATCAATTCCACCTGCACCTCCAACAAGTCTAAATATCTAATTCAACAATAAACTAGGCACTTGTAAACCATAATTCATAAATAAATAGTAAGTACAAAAAGCACCTGAATAGATCCTTGAGGATCTCCTTTAACTTGATGAAGAGCCCAAGAACTTGGTGACCATGAAAAACCTTCATCGTTCTCACAATTGCAGGCTAGTGAAACTCCTCCTTCAATGACTGGTGAACCATTCTGTCCTTCTGAGACAGTGGTATGCAGCAACTCCATTGTGCCTCCATGCCACATTTGAGCTTTGTATGATGTGATCAAACCACTTGGAAGCATCAAATTAGCTATACTTCCATTCTCCAACGCCATGCGGACAACACAACTCTCATTAACCTCTGTGAAGGTGACTCCATGTCCACTGAACTCACTTTCCAAGTATTCCGTGTCAATGGGTGGGTATGATATTGAAGCTACCCCTGGCAATTGAATATTTCTTGTTAAGCTACTGTAGTGGAGGGGACTGCAGAGAGGAGGAGTAGGAAATGTGGATATGCTTTTGCTCGGGGATCTAGAAATTGGAGAACCGGAAATTACATTTGTAGAGAGGAGACAAGTGTTAATGGCAGCCATGCCAAACAGAAGAAGAAAGAATAGAGTGCACCAGATGGTATGCCAAGATGACTAAGTTCTGTTATACTTGTTGCATGATATGATATTTCTTAACTTGTATTTGGATAACTTTTGGTTGGCTATGACCTAATGGTTGAAAGAGCTTGTGGATTATGCTCCCTTTTTTGTTTGTGTGTATTTTGACATATCTTGTTATGATATTTTGGGTGGTGGTACCTACTCAATACTCTCTTTTTCAGGGTGTAACATGTGGATTCTATTAACATGTCTAACCTTATTATTTAGCCCATGTAGTTGAAAGAACATATCTCTAGCTCAACTCACTGAATTTGCTTGGATGCGAAGAGAAAAACGGAGAAACAAGTATTCACTAAATCCATTTGTATTTTGGAATTCTCAGATTGATGACTACAATTACTCTTCTGGTGGAGTATAAACAGTAAAAAAAAAGGAATAACCAAGTACATTTGGCATTGCTGTTTCTTGATGAATAAATTCAGGAGGTACAGAAAGCTTGTAAAATAAAGATGTACATTTAAAAAAATTGTTACTCCAGTTCTGAAGTTCTAGAGGACAATCATAAATTATCATGCTCAATAACTTGTGCTCCTCTCCACTCTTCACCAGGATTCACAACAAGAGGAACCAACATTGAAGCAGGGCCTGTGCAGATAAAGTAATCCTTCCCATACTTTTCTGAAAATGAACCTGGACTCGATACGTAAATATCTTCAAAGCCCATACGTATTATCCTGAAGAAGAGCTCACGACCCTGGAAATGAAACGAAACAAAACATTAAGTTTTCTGCTGTTTCTAAAGATAGTTTTTCTGAACTTTATGCTCTCTTAAGACAGACAATTAAAGTTGTGACAAATTTGTTCTTAAGATGCTAAAGGAACACTAAACTATGAGTTATAAAACAAGTATTACTTGTATGTAGTTAGGGGAGAGTGTTTGTTTTGAATGTGATACCTGATCGATTGTTTCGTATTTTGAAGGTATTGAATTATAAAAATCCTTTGCTTTTTCTTGTGGTGGGACACTGTAAAGTCTACTGAGTTTGTGCTTGAGGACAGTAATGGGCACATCTTGAGTAGACCATATGCCGGGCTTCTTCTCTGGTTCCCAACCAAAAGAGAACATACCGGGTTCCTCAGTTTTCATAGCTTCCCCTGGAGATAAAATTTCAAAGGAAGAAGACAATGGAGGATGTGTGCAATAAGTACAGCTCCGGAGTCCTTGTATTCCTGTTCCCTTTCTTGTCTTAGACATCAAATGGCTTAGTATAGCTGTCGTTAACTTGACAGGCTTTCGGCCATTGTTCTTCACTATAACTGCTGTTGCCATACTCAATGGATAGAGTGACACCACATAGTTAATATCTAGACTCCCTCGGCTGCAGCTCAATTCAACCTGCCCATAACAGTGGTAGGAGTAATTATTCCCTTTTGAGGCAAAGGGAATGAAAATCAAGAATGACCTATACTGTTGCAATTGAAATCTATTTGAAGGATCAAGAAATTGTCTATTTAGTCATGTATACACATTTTTGTAGAGTCCGAGCAACATAGATGCTTACCTGTAGAGCATCAATAGAGTCAGAATCAACATCTGTGAGAGTCCATTGATCAGAAGGTGTTGTTGTCTTCGGGACGGGCAGTTTAGGATTAGGCTCCAAGATTTCATTGATTACCAAAGCAATGCCACCTCTGGAATTAGGAAGAGTGTAAAGAACTTCCTCAAAGCCATCATCTTTCCAATAAACTTTAGGCTTGTAAGAAGTGATATGTGCATTTGGTATTTGTAGCTTCACTGAACTTCCATTTCTAACAGTAAGCTCAACTGTTCCTCCATCTGAAAACTTGATGCCTTTACGACCAAATTTCTCTTCAAGACTCTCTGGAGCAAAAGTAGTACTACTGCCTGAAGAAGCTTTAATTACATTAAGCTTAGGTAGAGAAAGAGATAAAACAGCAGCAGCAGCCATTCAATCTTAACCACCAAAAACAACAACACAAACAAGAAGAAGAAAAGAAGAAATAACAAAGTGAGAGTTTGAGAGCTTAGCTTCCACAAACACAGACTGACTGGCTAAGCCTATCCCCACCTTGTCCTTACTTTCTCCAAGACACATTCAATTACAATATTAGTTTCACGTTTACTCCAAACTACTTTTAATAAAAAAAATTATATTGCATTATATGGTTCACACATATTTTCAAAACATATAAAAAGTAAGGAGGACGATTTTACGGGTGTTTGGATTGACTTTTTTTAAGGTGACTTATACGTTAAAAGTCAAAAGTTATAAGTCGGGAATACCCAAATTTTGACTTTTGCCTTTCTTTTTTTTACCTTTTCAGCTTTAAAAAAGTGCTTAAACTTTTTGTGTTAGACAAATACTTCCGAAACCCAAAAATAGCTTAAAAACCCAAAGCTACTAAAAATAAGCCAATCCAAACACCCACTAAATCAGAAACTTATAAATTTAATATTAGTTTATTGATGTACTATATTAGTTTTTTTATTTTATAAAAAAATACATGCTCATATAAATATACTAGTTTTTCGACACGTGCGCTGCATGTGATTATCAATTCAGAAAATATATGTTATAGTAAATAGTATTGCTTATTTAAGTGATGATTTGAATAATAAGCTTTGCACAAAATAATATTGCAGATTATTTTGTAAATGTTCAATGTGGATCGTGTATATATCTCTTATTCACGCGAATCTATGAAGATGGTCAATGAAATTTTTTATTAGTTAAATGCAATAATGCATATATTTATTTCAATTTGATAAGGTCAATCATGTAATTAGTCGTATTTCAGTAATATTACCTTATAGACGATTGGTCAAAAGTTAATACAAGAAAAGATGAAAGATAGAAATAATTAATGTAATAACTATGAGAATTCATAATATTATAACTAAAGAATGTTAAAGAGTGTGAATAATGTTTGCAATAATTAGTACTAACTAAGATAATTTATAATGTTATAACTAAAGGATTAATGTGCAATAGATGTATTTCTAATAAATTTTGTACTTACATAAATAAATAGGACTTTTAATTAATGTTACTATTTTTTCATATAGTTATTAGATTTTATTTTAGTGTAGGGACAAAATGAAAATGTTTATTCCATATTACTCAATATAAAATTTATTTTGTAATTGATAAATTTTTAAATGATTCATATATATTCACATATTTTCACTCTTGAGAAGTTTAATAATTTTGGAAAAAGATGTTCAGAAACATATATTTACATCACAAGAGAAATTGTTAACAAAATCAAATGAATTTGGACTACATCATGTTAATTCATATATTGGAACATTACATACTAATGTATATATTAAGCAAAAAAATAATTATTATATCATCAAAATTATTTTCCTCAAGTACTCGAGGTTATGGAATGTACCCTCTTAGGATAGAACGATTCACTTCATCAGAATAGTGGTACCTCATATTCCGCTTAACTTCGAACTCAGTCAACGACAATAAATAACACAAAATTTTTTAAAATGCAAGAAGTAGAGTAGGAGATTAAAAAAAATTGTGGTTGAAAAATGAGAGGAATCCCCTCTATTTATAGTAAACAAAGGGTAGATGAACAAGTGTTTTGTTTCTTCTCTGAAAAATCATGACCTTTCCAAGAAGTCACAACCCTTTGAAAAAGTCACAACATATTGAAAAAGTCACAACTCTTTGGAAAAGTCACAACTCACCGAAAAATTGCAACCCTTTGAAAAAAGTCACAACTCCTCGAAAAAGTGACCTTTTCAAGAAGTCACAGCCCTTTGGGAAAGTCACAACTTATCGAAAAAGTCACAACTCTTTGGAAATGTCACAACTCATCGAAAAATCACAACCCTTTGAAAAAAGTCACAACATATTAGAAAAAGTCACAACTCTTTGGAAAAGTCACAACTCACCGAAAAATTGCAACCCTTTGAAAAAAGTCACAACTTATCGGAAAAGTCACAGCTCATTGAAAAAGTCACAACCTACGTTAGGGATATTATAGTAATTTAACATTCAAGTTAGGAGTTCATGCTTTTAAGGTAATATATATATATATATATATAGTGCTTTGCGCAGATCCAATAGTTATTTACGAAGTTATTCTTTTAAGTAATTTTGATTGAATAATATTAATTTTTTTAATCTAAAATAAGATATATATCTATAAATTTTTAATCTAAAATAAGTTATATGTATATGTGTGTTAGTAAATTATTTATCTAAAATAAGTTGTATAGATGTATCTATATGATAGTAAATCATATCATTAAGTGTAAAATCACTACTTACAAATATTATCAACATTATAAATTTTAAATAATATTGATTAAAATAATTGTAATACGTTATACTCCCTTCGTCTCAATTTATATGAGTTAGTTTGATTTGATACAAAATTTAAGAAAGAAAAAAAAGAAAGGCTTTTGAACCTTTGATATGAAATAAGTCATAGATATTTATGTGGCTAGAAATCATTTCATTAGGGATAAAATGAATATTTTAAAGTTAAATTATTACTAAATATAGAAACGTATCATACATTTTAAAACTAACTAAAAAGGAAAGCAAATCATATAATTTGAGACATATGAAGTATATATTTGTGTGATAGTAAATCATTTTGTTTTTGATGATTTGGTGTGAGGCTAAAAACTCTAAAGTAACTCTTAATTTAGTGAGAATTATTAGAAAATAACTCCTAATGAAATAACTGCTAATTTATTTAAATGTCTCCACTACCCCCCTGATATAATTGCCTTTGAAAAAAAAACAGGGACATGAAATAAGCATAAGAGTAGCCACAAACAATTAAAAGCAAGGAAATAGATTAATTTACCATTTTATCCTGTTATAAAATTGTGGAATCAAATCAATATTAACTCATATGTTGTAAAACTTAAGAACAAAAGAACAATATAAAGAGGAAGAGAAGAAGAATATAAGACTAGATGAACAATATAAACTAACTTTCTTTCTTTCAAGTGTTCACCAAATCTTCAAGAGTATACAATATGAACCCTTATGCCTCTATTTATAGTGTAACATAGATGCATACAAAAGGTTAGTCATAAACATGACATTAACATGAATATAATGGGGGAGGTTATGGAAGTGAAAGGTTACAAGAATAATGGTTATAAATGTGGAGGTTATGGTTATCTTCATAATGGAGGAAAGTAATGGAGTAACTTCTTGATGTAGTGGACATCCACAATATATTATTTTATAACACTCCCCCTTGGATGTCCATAGACAATATGCCTTGTTAAAACCTTACTAGGAAAAAACCCTGTGGGAAAAAATCCTAGTGAAGGAAAAAGAGTACACATATCTTTTAATACGCTTTGAATGTTGCCTCATTAAAAACCTTACCAGAAAACCCAATAGGGATAAAACCATGGTTAAGGAAAAGAGTACAACGCGTATTTTTCTTCCCCTGATAAAATTTTTACTTGATATTCAGAAACAATGCATTCCAATCTTGTATCACAACTTCTCAAATATTGATGTTGACAATCTTTAGTGAATAAGTTTACAAGATTATCACTTGAATGGATCTTTGAATGTCTATCTCACCATTTTGTTGAAGATCATGTGTGAATTTTTTTTTGGTGAAATATACTTTGTCCGATCTCCTTTGATAGTATCCTCCCTTCAATTGAGCTATATATCATTTTCGTATATGGTGGCTGGAATATCCCTTTCAAAAGAAAATCACATATTTTCTGAATATGATAAATAATGATTCCAACCAAACACACTCCGGACTTACTTTATGAATCAATATTATTTTTGCATGATATGAAGAAGTGGTTACTAATGTTTGATTCTTTGAATGTCAAAATATTGTTGTGCCTCCATATGTAAACAAATAGCTCATTTGCAATCGAGCTTTATACAAATCAAATAATTATTATGCATCTACATAATCAAATCATTTCTGACTCAGAGATTGATCATTTCAATTTTATTGAAACACATCTTTTCTTCTCAAAGAAAATCACACATCTTCTATGTGTTGAGTAACTTGCTTTGTTAGTTTCTTGTCATAACTTGAATGATAATACAATAATCCTTTCACATAACTTTCGTTATGTATATCAAATAATCTTCTAGCATTTGCATAACCAACAATATGTAAGTGCACCAATTGCACTAATACATGACATTTTAAATCATTTTCATGAGATCAAAGGATTCTTTCTCTGTGTTAAGCAATCTCAGAACCATTGGATACTCAATGGAATTGTTTTAAGACCTTTTAAATCCTTCAAGAATTTTCATATAACCTTCATCGTCTAGTTAGACATGATAATCAGTCATTATACATATTCAAGTATTTCATTGCCAGACTGAAATAAGTCTCATTGCATCCACCACTAGAGAACATATCTCCATTTAATAATGTCAGGACTTCTGCAAAAATCCTTTATTCCCCGAGGCACAAACAGTACTTTATATCTTACGGTTATACTTTCGCACAATGATTCATTTGTACCCCACTGACATATATTTTGATTTATGAACTATAAGTTCAAAAACATCACTTTTCTAAGTGAAACAAAATATACTTGAATAATGCATTTTATTTGGCCAATCATTTATCTGTCCACATTATATGACAGATTCAAATTTAAGATCCTCGTAACCACTTATAGCATTGAGTGCTACTTCATATCAAAGATACTGTCGATGGCCATTTTGATACGATTCCAATACGACATAACTTATCGAGATCTCTTCATTTTTCATCATTTTCAGGTACCTGAACCTTTGCCAAGGTTTTATGAAGTGTTATGTCATTGTGCTCTTTCAAAGCACTTACCTCATATCATGACCATTTTGATAATTTGCTCCTCTCCTTCCTCAATGAGTTTTACATTTGGAATCGATTGGTCTATCACGCTTCTGGCGTACCATAGACTCTGTCCTTGAAGGACTATTTATTGGTTCAGCAAATACATTTGGCAGATTATTTGCAACATTTTGCAAATGAATTATCTCTTGAACTTCAAGTTCACTTTTTTTTAATGAGGATCTAGATAATTCACCTCACACATAATTTTCAGCTGCTAAACATATCTCCCCCTAATGTTAGGAAATC